GTCTGCAAAGTCTGTTGATAGACGATAAAGTCTGCACGTCCAGAGCTGTCGGTCGATTTGAGAAAGACCAGCCGGATAATGCTGCAATGCGGGTGCTTTGCGGTGATCTGAAGCTGTCTCCTTGACAATTTCTAGTGTTTCTGCGAGTTGATCAATGTCAATCTCACCATCAAGAAACCTCTTCGACGCGACTTCGATGACAACGATCAGCCTAGTGAATTGTGGAAGTCGCCAGAACACGGAAAGCTCTATCAAAAGGTCGATGCTCTGAGGCGATAATGGCGCGTACGGCAGAGCAGGGTCAGAATGTAGATGATCGTACGTCATACAATACTGCAGGAACGCTTTGTAGAAGGACCTCGGGCTGGGAGGAATAAAGGTGTAAGCTGGCTCTTCCACCGTCTGCGTTCCACCAGGCGCATCTTCCAGTGAAAGAGAGCTCAAGCTGATCATGGAAGAAGGGTCAGATCCATAGGTGGCCGAATCCGGGTTCGACAGTGCCCGGCTGAGGTCACTGTACGCTTGGTCCTCGCCGTATAGCGACATGGGTCTTCCGGGAAGCGGCTTGTCGAGGCTCGATGATGAAGTTTTGAGCAGCTCCGGCTTTGCAGTCGTAATCTTGAATAAAATCTCCGAGAGATGAGTGGCCTCGGCCTTCTTCCACTCTTCGTAGGCCTCGTCAGTGTCGAAGTCATGTTTCCGCAATGATCCCGGCGCATTCGAGGCGAGCCGGTGCTGATACGCCTTGATGTCCTTCAGTGCCGCTTCTTCCGTCCACGCATGCCGATGAGCATCAATGTCTGACTGCACATCAGTCTTGGTACGCCCGAAAACCCGCTGGATCAAGAGAACCAAAGGCATGTCTTTCACGTCGTAGCTCAAGGGCACGATAACCTCAATCATCTTTGTTTCGTTTTGATTATTGACATCGGCAAGGTTTTGGTCATGTGTTAGTAGCTTCTTCTCCAAGCTATCGAGTCTCTTCATCAGCTCTGGCCGGTCACGGTCAACGCCCTGGTCCCGCAGCATGTGCGATACGAGGCGCACAAACAAGGCCAGATGGCGGTCGGGCAGCATCTTGACATGGTCTTCCGAGGAGTTGGCCTGCACAGCGGTCGCATTGGCCGCCTTGGTGGCAGAGGAGTAGAACATGAGAATATAGGGATCGATCTTTCTTTCGTCATCGGCTCTCTTTTGGAAGGCCTTCTCGGTGAAAGCAGTGTACGCTCGCGCGAAGCTCCTCTTGACCGCTGCATCGTTGTAGCCGGGAACTGGGTAGCTGCCTTGGACGACCTGGCTGAGCCTCTTTTCGAGAGAGCTTCGGAAACCGTGGGGCATGGTTATCTTAGACGAGCCTGAAGGGGAGCTGAGTTGGCCGATGAGCTCGCCGACGGCGGTGTGGGAACGCTGCCCCGCCTTGTGTATGGGCTTGGGCGCGGCAACCCATTGTTTCCGCTTCGTCTTGGGCTGCAGGAGGTAGTTCAGGTAGGCAATGCGGAGGGCGAAGCTGTAGGCGTCGTCATGGCTGATGACGTGTGTTTGGGACCTCGAAGGAGCCCGCTTAAGAGTGTTACCCCTATTGCTGTCGTTGCGGCGGTGCAGGTAGGAGTTCCTCGATGCCGAGGACATGATGGGTCTGTGGGCGTCTTGCGGTGCAAGGAAAAGGACACCTTCGAAGGTCGAAAAAGGTCGAAAGCGGCACTGGGCATGCGGTGGCGGTTCGGGGCCGGATGATGCAGTGTGGTTCCGTGACGATGTTCGATGCGGCTCAGGGCCGCGGCGCGGGATTGCGGGGATCGATCGGTCGGCGCAAAATGGACGGCTATCGAAAGGCTGATAGAGTTCTGGGGAAGCTCCAAGGTCGAGCAGTTGCAGCAGCACAGTCGAAGTTGGCTCCGTAGGGCATGAAGAACCCAAGGTTGGCGGCGATGGGAGGGCGGCGTTGAAGTTTGGGAGGGATGACGGTGGCTCCCTTGCCTTGTTGCAAGAGGAGATGATGCCCCAAGCGCTGGACCCTCGAAACAGGCGTCACGGCGGACACAAGCTCAGCAAAGGGAATACGGTACTGGTGGGTGGGAGGTGGCCACACAACAAGGGCGGGCGCACACACACACGTCATGGGCGGTAGGGCGGATTGCAGGGGCGGATCAGTGCCGGGGAAGTCATCACTTAGCGCGTGTTGCCGCCATCCAACGTTTCGCATCTTGTGCGTCCTGACCGCCTTGGCTGGTGCCCAAGCACACTGTACCCAGGCACGCTGCCCAAGTACCTTACCTTGGTGTCAAGATCAGTTTGACCTCTCACCTCCACCCTGGTAACTGAGCTTACGCTATTAGGTAGCGCTCTTGGGGCGTGTTCATTGTTGCCCACGATGTCTGGCATGGCAAGCCACCGAAGCCGCGACGAATATTCAACAATGACGCCTACACGGCAGGGCAAAGAAAAGTTACGTTGGAGCCACCTACTGCTACGGGGCAGCCACGCCAGCTTCCCAGGCGGCGTACATGAATACGAGATCATGTCGGTCCATACTGGCAACAATCGCGGCACCCATGACCGCTCTGTACACCTGCCATCGTAAACACGTCCAGCTTGTCTGACTGTCCACATTGTTGACAGTGGCAGAACCCGACTATATGGGTTGACCGCCGTGTGCACTGGACCGACTTTTGCCTTTTAAAAAATCTAGCATGGCTACGTCTTTTATCATGTCACCCCGCAAACACGACAGCGGCCTTGGTTTTGTTCGCTTTTCATCCTTGACCCTGACTAGTTGCTAGAAATCTGTGCCCACATCTCCTAACCTGCGACGGTGGCCGACGATCTAATTACGGGGGCCTAACGGGCCCTCTCCAGGAACAGCTCCAAGGCCTTTTATGAGCCATGGAACGAGAGCTGCCGAATTGATGATGTGGATGCGCGCCATAATGCAGGGACTCGGCTGCTTGCAGCAACAGAAAGGGAGAAGCAAGCGGAAAGAGCGCTTTTCTGCAGCAGCGTCCTTGGTAATGCAGTATTACTCCCCTCCCCCCCCCATACTGACGGTGAGCAACCCTGGATGCTAAGAGGTAGGTGAGTTGTTGGCAGGCACCCTCTTCTCAGGCGCTGGAACGTGTCGAGCTACGCATATCCCATAAGTTGGACCAGGTCAGATGGGGTCGAGGACGATGCCGGCGCATCTTGACCAGACCAATGTCGTCCTCCTTTATGCGCTTTAAACGCATCGCGACCGATCCTCATCTGGCGATAAGGTGCTTAGCGGCGGGGCGCTGCCCTGACGGCTACCACAATGACGCTTTGCCTGTGGTGTCCTCCCTGCCTGCTGCGCCTGTTGTGCAAATGCTCTGCAGATTGGATTCGGATCCCGACTTCGTTCTTTCAGGCCGTGCTTGCTAAGAGAGTTTTCTCTCTGAAATACCCGTCTGATTTATGAATACCTCGAAATACTCACAGGATGCCATCAGGAGGTACCGACCTGCGCCACCAAAGCAAAGTTGCCGCTGTTCGCGAGGTGTCATATGCGACGGAAAAGGGGTGATGCAGCAACAGCAGCCAAAAGGTCACTCGCTGGAACAGCGGTCACAGTGGGAACAGGCGGGGTGGAGAGGCGCCCCCCCCCCCCTCTTCCCACCTGGGCCCCCACACAACCTTAGCTCCAACGCTGGCTTCCTCCTGCTCAAGTCCCATGTCCCCTCCAATCCGCCAGCGCGCTCCAGCGCCTCCAGTGCCCCGTTCTCCAGGGAGGTCTTGTTGATCCTGGATCCCTCACGCTCCTCACCCTCACCCGCACACCCGCAGTCACATTTCCAATCTACCCAGACGTCACCTGCAGATATCACCATCTCTGCGCAGATTTGGCTAGAGACGACAATCTTCTCGACACTGTTGCAGCTGCCTGGCCTGCCACCTCATTTCTAAAGCATCCACACCCTTGCCCGTCTCGTGTCAAGCCGTAATGCCGCAGCCAAGACGTCCTCCACCAAAACCCCAAAATCATCGCCGCAGCACCCCTACCAAGGCCAGCCCGCAGCAGCACAGAGTACCTTACATCCTACATCATTCTGCCTCCAACTATTCCTCCACGCTGCATAGCCGCGCCTCGATTTAGTTCCCTATCGTCTGCCTCAACACCCCCCCCCCCTGGTTTCATATTTCGCCCTCCGCCCCTTACCACCACCTGCTTTTACTTGGATACCCGGCCGATCGCTGCACGACCAACCTTCCTCGCCTCTTGACCCGGACACGCTGAAACCGATTACATTCAGCACTCTGGCGCCAACATCGGCAGTCGCCCTTGCTCATTCGCTTCCACGCTTGGACTTCAACTAAGGCCGCCCTTGCAACAACCCCGCGCTTCTGCAACCTCGTTAGCATTCTGCCACGACCAATCTTGCCATCGTCAACCGCAACCACCATTCTTCCCCCACATGCCTCACTTCTCCGGATGAAAATCACAATATGGGCATTGTTAGCAGTAGGCCCGACGACGGGGCCTCTCTCTACCTGAGAGACCAGAACAGACGTGCGTTCCCCCCCTTGGCGAACAACCACCCCCTCCCCTCCCCCCAAGTGCTGCCTATAGGTATCTGCGCAGGTTCGCACTGAAATGCGCTGACCATTCTGCCGCCTTGCAGTGTCCATATCTTCGATCGTCGTCACGAACCCGCGAACACGGAACACGGTCAACATCGCACCCAATGCATTTCCAGCTTCCAGAATCGTCGCTTCTCGCCCGGCCGGCGAGAGCACTCCTATAGAATTCGTACAGGTGCGCACCCTCGCATCGTGACCTGAGTCGCAGAGAAGACCAACCGCTGACATTCGCTCCTGCAGGATCTCGAGTCCGCCGTGCCTGGCGGCGCTCCTAACTTTATCCTTAAACTGAGTAGCGACGAGGAACTCGTCTTTACGTTCACCTTTGTCATCCGCCAATCCGAGGCGGGCGTCGCCCAACCCACGAATGGTGTTGCCGAGGTACACCCACCCGTCGATACCCAGATCACCGGCCTCACATATGTCTACGCCTCGTCTCCGCGCGAAGTCGAGAATCTTGTCACCCGCGAATTCCATGCCGACCCCAATCTACACAAGAATGCCAACGTCGAGCTCGTGGGCGACTTCACCACTGGCGGCAGTCCCTCTGTCGCCTTTGACTGGACGTGGAAGTGGAAGCCGCCGAAGAACACGGAGGATAGAGGTGGTGGTTGGAGAAACTCTTGCAGCGTGGGTTGCCATCCCGAATGGTGCATTCTGAGCCATCCATGCTAACCTGGTCCAACAGTTTGTCGAGTACGATTCGCGCGCACACTGCCTACATACGTTGGCTAGTTTTCCTACTGGGTATCAAGTGAGTTCGAAAGACCATTTGCTTCATGTGCCGTCTAGTACTGAACCTTCCGCAGATACAACCACACCACTTAGCACCCCAACTCTCATCTCCGCCTTTTCACCTGGCGCCGCCTCCCAAGCACGCGTTGCGTCCTCGCAATCTGTCGAATCCCGAATCAGCCACGCAGACTTGGAAGAACCCGCCTCGCCACTGTACTCTGTACCTACCACAATCCAGACTCCTTTACCGCACCAACTGCCTCCCCAACCCGAGCCAGTCAAGGTAGATGTGGTATGCCCGAAACCTGGCGACGACATGACAGTGACGGATGATGGTCCCGTCTTCCGCGCCACTATCAAGGCACTCGAGCAGAAAACAGGCAACATGCGTATGCAGGTCAAGCGCGTGCTGAAGAAAGCCGAGAGCGCATACGAAGCCCAGACCGACGCGAATGACAAATTCGCCTCATTTTTGGAAGCCTTGAAGGAGGCATCGGCAACGAACGCGAATGCCGTACAGCCCGCCATTGACCACTACTTTGACAAGATCGCGCAGGAAATCATGGCCTATGAACGCAGGAATACTCTCAATCTGCAGAAGATCGTCATTGAGCCGCTCAGCAAAGTCTACACTTTTGACATCAAGCGGGCCGAGGACAAGAAGAGAGACTTTGAGGAAGAAAGTAAAGATTACTATGCCTACCTGGCTCGATATCTCGGCCAACGACATGACTCGGTCAAGGCTAAGAAGCTGGCCGAGAGCGACACGAAGTACCAGACCAAGAGACGAACGTTCGAGCTCAAGCGCTTTGACTATTCCAGCTTTATGCAGGACTTGCATGGTGGGAGAAAAGAGCAAGAGGTTCTGTCACACCTCACACGATATGCCGATGCGCAGGCTCGAGGCTTTCTTGGCGCAGCCAGAAAGATTGACACACTGCTCCCACAGCTGGAGGCCCTGTCAAACGAAGTCAGCGAAGCGGACAAAGAGTTTCAATACCAACGCCGTGAACGAGAAGAGAAGAGGAGACTGTTGGAAAAGAGCAATGCAGATACGGATCTGCCTCCTGCGGCCGCAAACAACGCGTATAGCACCTCATCGAACGGTCAGGCAACCTCTACCTCAGACTCTGAACTCGGACGCGCAGATAGTACTGGCTCACAGCTCAAGTCAGCCATATCTGGTGGTTCTCAGGGAGCGGTGGCATCTCCCGAACTGTCGAGATCTCCAGGCAGTCTCGGACAGTCCTCCATCGGAAGCCCTGCTGCTGCGTCCAAGTTCAAAGGAATTCGGGATCTGGAGGAGCGCGACCACGTACAGATAGCCAACGCCGAGAGACATAACGCGCAGCGCAAGGAGGGGCTTTTGTGGGCATTGAGCAGGCCTACCAGCCATGTGGACCCGCGTAATCTCAACAAGCCTGGCTGGCACAAGTGAGTTATCAACGATACCGCTTTCGTGCGTCTCTGTTAACCCAGGTAACAGGTTCTGGATCGTCCTCGATCAAGGAAAGCTCTCCGAGTACAGCAACTGGAAACAAAGACTCGACCTGCACATGGACCCCATTGACCTCCGGATGGCTTCTGTGCGAGAAGCACGTAATGCTGAGCGCCGATTCTGCTTCGAGGTGATAACACCACACAACAAGCGAGTTTACCAAGCAACCTCCGAGGAAGATATGAACAGCTGGATTTTGTCCATCAACAACGCACTGCAAAGTGCGGTCGAAGGCCGAATGGGTGACAGATCAGGGCCGGCGCCGTCCTCGAGCGATTCAAGTTCCTTCAAGCGCGATATCGGGTCTATTTTGACAGGCAAAAGCCCTTCTCTGGGCCATGGCAGTTACAATCCGAATGCAAACTCAAACAGCGGCATGCCTGCTCGTCGCATAACGGTCGGCGCCAAGCCCAGTATTCCCCGAGCTCCCAGCGGCAGTTACGACGATACTCCCGACAAGCTCTTGCAAATGCTTCGCGACAACGACCAAGGCAACTGCTGGTGTTCCGACTGTGGATCTGGCGCCAAGGTCGAGTGGGTTTCCATCAATCTTGCCATTATTCTTTGCATCGAGTGCAGCGGTATCCATCGATCGCTCGGCACTCACATCAGCAAAGTACGGTCTCTCACTCTTGACATAACATCATTCACCGCCGACATTGTAGAGCTGCTCATGCTCGTCGGCAACCGCGTCGCAAATATGATTTGGGAGGCGAAGCTTGATGCTTCCATCAAGCCCGGGCCGCAGGCGACACGTGAACAGCGACTGCGATTCATCACAGCGAAGTACGTTGACCGAGCTTATGTTGAGCCGATATCCACAACATTGTCGCGTTACTCGACGCCAGACGAGACTTTGCTGGCAGGTATCAAGAAGAACGAGGTTCAACAGGTCATCTATGCTATGGCTCTCAAAGCAAACCCAAACGCCACCGATAAGTCGAGGGGCACACATGCCGTGTTCCTTGCCCTGGCAGCCGCGGACCCAGCGTCTCCTTCGGCAGTTGGAGGCCAACAGCCCGAACCCGAGAAGCCGGTGCCGTTCCCGGTGGCGGAGATGCTCGTGCAGAACGGGGCCGAGATTCCAACTACGATGCCAGCCTTCCCGCTCAGCCGCAGCGCACAGTTGTATGTCGAGCAGAAACGAGGGCGGTCGGTTGGCATTTCTAGGGACGGCATTGGTTCTTTGCGACCAAGCCAAAACGCGGGCGACAAGATTCAACAAGACATGGAATCAAGGCTACACAAACGCATGAGCGCGGGCGGCCGCCTGGCGAAGAGTCCGATCCCGGAGAGGTAGCGGTCTCGTCGTGTGGATCGGAAACTGGCGACTGTTGAGTGCATGCCGATGCTGTGGCAGTTGCGGCGGATGGGATCTTCGCTCGTTGTGGAGTTGTCCGACGATGCGTCATGAGAGGTTCTATCGTTACCCTGGAGAAGGACACAGAGCTAGGGAGGCAGAGTCTTGTTTGGCAAATGCAAGGGTGACAAACACCCGTGGAGGGCGCCTGTGTTAGTTTATCGGCGGCATGTTGCTTTTTGGAAACTTGACCACAACCATGGTTCACGAATGGATACGAGAGGTCAGGCATCATGAGGCCTTTTTCTTCTTTTCTCTGCTTTTCTTTTCCTTCAGCAATACGTCAAGCACTTACTGGGGGCCTTGTTGCCCAGTACGATCGAGTGGGGTGGTGAGGTTTGGATTGGAAAGTCTATAGGCGGGTGGGCAGGCGGGCTGAGGGGGAGTTGGTGTGTATGGATAGATACTGTCTAATGGTAATGATACGAATAGTGAAATGCCATCTTAGCACCAGAAGGAAGAGGCCTCGTTCTGTGCCTCCAGTTCGACCCATGAATGCTGGGTCTGGTGCAGTCTGGTGCATGGGACGGATTGTCACGAAGGAGCAATCCCTAATGTGGTCCTTGGCGTTGCAGGAATCGGTGCGCCACACCACAGCCACGAGGAGGCCATGCGGACACAACACAAGACCCACGAACACATGGGTGCATGCCAAGGCTGGATAGACCCTGCTTGGTTCCCTCCCTACAGTACTTTGTGGCTACGGGAATACAGATGGGTTGTCTTCATCAACGATCTACTTCGCTTCAGACAAGGCTGTGCGGCAAACATGTCGACTGTGCGTATGTGCCAGGCGTGGGGCACGCGTGATGGCATGTCTTGCTTCCACCAGTACAGGCTGCCAGGGGTCTCCACGGGATGATGTGGACGAGTCAGGGCGATACAGCAGGTGAGAAGATGGCTGGTCACCGTTTAGCTGGCTGGGATGGGGAGCAGACCGCCCGAACAACCCACAGGGCGATTTTGCGTTCGAGGACGCCGGATGAGTGAAGTGAGTGTTCTGCGTCATCTGCGCAGGCGGCAGGCTGCAGCGGCTGCTGCATGTGAGGTGGGTTCCAGTCGCCACCCTGCGCCTAGTCTGCCCCCGGACTGGGTGCCGCCGAGAAGAGAGTGAGAGGGATGAGAAGGGAGGAAGAGGCAGATGGCGGCGGTGAAATCCAAGTGTACCCAGGTCGGTGACGCCAGAAATAGGTGGGTGGACTGGGCTGACTTGCAGGCTGTTGGCGAGCTCGGATTCCAGGTAGGCCGCTGCTCCTGCCCCGGTTTTGGATACCGAGGGGTGGAATCGAGCTGGGAGGCCGCTGTGCTCCCTAGCTACGGTACCTAGCAAGCCTAGGTAGGTAGCTGGGTACATGTACCAGCCTGGGCTGAGGTGACTTGAACGAGTGACAGCATCAGCCATCTGGTCCCTCCTCAGCCGGATCATTGGATCAGCCGTTCTCTAGCCCTGTGCGCAACCAATCAAAAGCCGCGCATGCTCTCGAGCCCCCCTGTGCCTGCCTGGCGCACTAGAGCGGGCAACCCCCAGTAGTGGCCCATCCTCAAAAGCACTTATCCATCCAGATCCAGTTGGCAGCTCACAGTCACGGCCCAGGCTACTATCCTCTTTCGATCCAGCTTCACGCAAATCACAGCTGCCGGATTTCCATCTCTGCACACCAGGCAACACTGCGCAATCTACGCACTTCTCCATCATATTACCCAGCACAACTGGCGCGCGCATAACTAGGCATCACCATCACGAACCCCTCCGAGTCTGTCCGGGTCTAGACGTGAGTGAGCGAGCACGAGCCGGCCGCTCCATTCACAGCTCCCCTTCTCGGCGGTAACCCTGCCTGTTCTGCCTGGTTTGGTCTGTCTGTGCCCCAACGTCACCTCACGGATTCGCGTCATCCCACACCCTTCACCTTGCACAGGAGTCATCGCGCTCCATCCGCTGCCATGGCGCCCCGTGAGAAGAGCCAATTGAAGCGTCTTCGAGTGAGTCTGCTTCTCGCCCCTGCCCACCACTGCTGGTCCGTTCTTAACCGTGCTCTCCGCCTCCAGGGTTCGCTGCCAGACAACGAAACAGAGTCCAAGAAACCTCGACGCTCCGAGAGGCTCTCCGTCAACGACCCAGACAAGACGCCCGTCTCGCACAAAGGCCATCTCCCCTCCCCCGTCACCCACACCACCGAGCCGGACGCCAACGACCGCCACAAGTCGCCGACCGCCACGCCGCCGGAAGGCCGCCCCAGCCAGGTGAATCCGCGCGAGGAGACCCCCGTGCAGGCCAACATCCTGTCGTCACCACCGCAAGACACACAGGCCTTCTCGCAGTACCCGCCCGAGACCAAGGACAGCCTGTCGGACGATGTAGAGGACGAGGTGAAGGAGGGCGTCTGGGGCTACCTGTTCCCCCTCGATACCAAGTATGGCCGATCGCTGGTCATGAAGAAGCGGACGGCGTGCCCCATGCCCGACACGGTGGCGGACAAGGTGTCAGATGAGGATCGGAAGGGCAAGTCACCTGCGCGCAAAGAGGAGGAGGCCTACGAGAAGACCAAGATCAAGGGTATCGCGTCAGGGGGCTACCTGATCGGCCGACACCCTGAGTGTGGTGAGTGTTGCGCTCCCCTAAGCTGTGTTCGAAAGTACATGTTTCCTGACTGCCATAGACATTGTCATTGATGACCCGATCGTGTCCAACCGCCACTGTCTTCTCTTCATAGAGAACAAGGGCGGCGACACGGTGGCCATCGTCGAAGATCTGTCCAGCAACGGCACCTTTGTCAACGAGGCCATTGTCGGCAGAAACCAGAGGAGAGAACTCCGCGAACAGGATGAGATTGCTGTCCTTGACAAAGCTCGTTTCATCTTCAGATACCCGAAGAGCCGGCAGACGAGCCCTTTCCACCAGTCTTACACACTGCTGCAGAAGCTGGGCAAGGGTCACTTTGCCGAGGTGTTCCTTTGCGTTGAGAAGTCCACAGGTCAACAGTACGCCGTCAAGGTCTTCAGCAAAACACCAGGCATGGAAGAACGTTCGAAGCAGGAGGGGCTCCAACAAGAAATAGCAGTTCTCATGGGGGTCAGTCACCCGAACGTTCTCTGCCTCAAGGACACGTTCAACGAGCGTAATGCGGTCTACCTCGTTTTGGAGCTGGCGCCCGAGGGAGAGCTGTTCAACTTTATCGTCATGAAGCAGAAGGTCTCTGAGGATGAGACGCGGAAGCTTTTCAAGCAGCTGTTCCAGGGGATCAAGTACTTGGTATGCACCACCCCCCTGCGCTCTAGACACTGAGGTATCACTAACGAGAGCAGCATGAGCGAAACATTGTGCATCGAGACATTAAGCCTGAAAATATTCTCATGGTGGACAAGGAGCTCCACGTCAAGCTTGCCGACTTTGGTCTTGCCAAGATTATTGGTGAAGAGTCGTTT